TGCTCTCTGACCCAGAGGGGATTACTGGCAGTCTGTCTCCAGAAAGAAAACCGAAGTCTACCCGTGAGAGGAGAAAGCAAGCCCACTTCACATCTGCCTGATAGACAGGCCAATCTGTCATTTTCCCACTATGGCACGTCCCCACCAGCTGTTTTAATTAAAATGGTAAAGAATCAATAGAATTGCAGTAGAAGGGGAAGATAAAGGGAGCCAGGACCTCCAAGCCCTTTCTAGATAGGCATTGCTAAGATCATAGCTGGGTTCCGAGTGAGTGCAGCTAGAATCATGCTCCCTGGGGTCAACACAATTAGAATAGAATTCCAGGTGACCACTGATCCACCAGAAGAGACTCCTAGGGCAGTGCTGACAGCAGTAGAGAGGAATTTGGAGTTAACACTAAGCAGTTGCAGAATAAAAGTGATAACTTTCTATGAATTTTGTTTTTTAGGGGTTTTGTTTTGGTTTGGTTTTAACTTATGTGTATGTGTTTGCACTTGTGTGGGGTACCCACAGAGGCCAGAAGAGGCCAGATCTCCTGGAGGTAGAGTTACAAGTGGTTGTGAGCCACCTTATATGGGTGCTAGGGATCAAACTTCAGTCCCCTGAAAGAGTAGCAAGGGCTCTAATTACTGAGCCACCTCTCCAGTCCCCAGAGGTGATAACTTTCTTAGGGTATGCAGGTGGGAACAGGTCCCTAGAACTCAGGCTGAAGAGATATCCAGCGACCTGCTTTTATGAGTTCTCCAGGTCTCTGTCTCTGTCTCTCCTTCCTCCTTCCTCTCTTCCTCCTTCCTCCTTCCCTTCCTTCCTTCCTTTCTTTTGAACAAAGTTTCACTATGTAGCCCAGCCTGGCCTCAAACTCACAATGCCCTGGCTTCAGCCTCCAAAAAGCTGGGTTTTCAGGTGTGAGCCACCAGACATGTGGCTAAGCATGGGGGACTCCCTCCCCTATCCCCCCCTGCCTCTGAAAAAGACCCTAGCCACGAAGAACACAGGTTCTCACAATCCTAAAGGTTAGGTAAAAAGAAGTGCAGTTCCTGAGGAATTCTCTAGGCTTTCACAGAGCCAGGGAAGGAAGAGGATCTCTTTTAGGGGGATAGGCTATATTGAACAATTGAGGTCACCTTGGCAGCTCCCAGCAAATGCCTTCCCCTGAAGGAGCTCAGTTTGACCCCTCAACTGATCCACTAAGTAGTTTGGGTAAATCACTATTCTTTTCCCTCTCTTGTAAAGTAAGAAGTTGACCTGAATGATGTTCAAGAAGAAACTGTATTCATTGCTCAGAAACAGTCTTTACATATGCCAACACAAACTACTTATTTATTTGTTTGTTTGTTTATTTAGCAGTACTGGGAACTGAACCCAGGGTTTCACACATATTAGGTAAGCACTCTACCACTGAGTTATATCCTCACCCATGACAGGTTGTTTATGATCATAAAAATAAAACTTTTACAGGTAAATGGATGAAACTGAAAAAATTATACTGAGGCAACCCAGACACAGAAAAATAAACACCACATGTTCTCCCTCATATGTGGATCCTAGCTTTAAATCACTCTAATTTTGTGTATTCAACTTAGAGTTCCTGTAGAGACTAGAAATCTAGAAAGAGGCCATTGGGAGGGAGGTGCTTTAAGGGACAGTAGATAGTAGATATAGGTAATATGAACACAGAGGGAGAATACCAGGGGTGAAAAGGTTTAAATAGGGAGTGGGTAGGGGGATAAGGAAGGTGAGGGAACAGTGGGAAGGATCAACCAAAAAAAGAGGGTATGAAAAAGACATATGAAAACCTACAATCTTGTAACCCAACTTTTTAAAATAAGTTGGGGGAGAGATATCATCTGGGAAAACCTTGTTGAAGCTATAGGTTATAAAACAAAACCCCAGTGCCAAGAGTGGACTATCTCCTTATGAGCTGTTGACCAGGGAGGCCCTAGAGGCCCCCAAAACAATTCAACCTCCTGCCATTCCTCTTAGTTGCCCACCAGAGCTAGATGGATGCCCTTACTGCTGAAGACACCACACACCTTGGTTGCATGCTATAGAGAAATGAAGCTAGAACTGAGCCGGAAGCCTCTTCTCTGCGGGTTAGCTTTCAGAGTGTTGAAAGGTGCTATGCAAACTTCTGGGGGTGGGGGGGGAAGAAATCAACAGTCTTACCCAGCTGTGAATTCCTATAAACTATACCAACCTGCCAGGCAAGAAGTGCCCACTTGTGCAATAGTGGCACAACTGTTATAGAGATAACCACTCTCTGTTTGAATTTGAGGCCCATTCCATAGATGAGAATCTTTGCCTAGGACTATAAACCTGCTCAGAAGCCCAAGGCCAAGAAGGTCATAGGACCTAGGGGTCCTGTTGTTTAGCTACATTGGCATAGTGTTGACCCACCTTTTAAATATGTATGTTTATGCCCAGCACTCTCAGCTTTAATCAGAGAAGCCTCTCTTCCCAGTGAACTGTGAAGGCAGAGACTTATGGCTACACAAGATGCTGAGAATAACTGATGGTTGTGAGCACGGCCCTAAATAAGACACTTAGACCATCCCCTCCAGGGCTCAGAGAACACTTCAAGAGAGAAGGCAGAAAGACTATAAGAGCCACAAGATAAAGCAGGGCTGTGAAATTCCATCTTCTGGGGCAGTACACAGTCACTGCAACCACAAACTCTCAACAACTTCTGATGACTGTACTGGGTCTGCCCAAGAATGGGCCCATTGGCAGCCAGGCAAGGATGGAGGAAGGATTCCTCTCCCTGCTGAACCATTTCCTATGGTTAGACTCAGGAAAAGGGGGAGATGTTGCCTTCAGTGGTGTGCCCACTACTTAATCTGACCAGACTGCAGTGCATAGTCCCAATCCAATGATCACACAGTTGGCCCTGGTTAAATTACATGAATTACACAACAAAACCAAAGTCATAAATGTGGAAAAGGGACAGGTAGAGAGGAGAAAGGGTTCATAAGGATGGGAAGGAGATTAAAAAGGTGGAGGAGTGACCAGAATGGACTATCTACATGTATAAAACTATCAAAGAACTAACTTAATAGAAAATAACACTGTTTATTGCCTGCAGTTTAGAAAAGAAAATGTAAATAAGAAAAAGAAATCTCATTGATTCATTACCCAGAAGATACCACTGTTCAACTTTTATAAACTTTCCCTCTGGGCTTTTGTTTTGTGATTGTTGCTTTTTCTTTCCATTCATATAACTGCCTTTTGATAAAAGGGGAGTCAGACAGTCTTTATAATTTTGTATAGTGTTCTTATGCTGTGAGCATTTCCCCCAAGTCATCGGACAGTCTTTGGAAATATAATTTATTTTATTTTATTTATTATTTTCATTTTATGTGTATGTGTGTATTGCCTGCATGTAGGTAAGTGCACCCATGTCGTGCAACGCCTGCAGAGGTCAGAGAGGCTGTTGGAGCCCCTGGAACTGGAGTTATGGACGGTTGTTACCTGCCATGTGGGTGCTGGGATTCAAACCCGGGTCTTCTGCAAGAATAACCAGTGTTCTTAACCGCTGAGCCATCTCTCCAGCCCCAGAAATATAATTTCAATGACTGCAGGTATCCACTGCACATACCATGAGTCCTAGGCATTTAGTTTATTTTCCTAGTATAAATAATATTGCCATGAACATCCTAGCCGAATGCTGTAACTCCATTTCCTTATAGTCAGCTCCTCTATAGGGAATTATGAGGTCAATGAAGATGATTTTAAAAGAGCCTGGACATGTATCACCATATTAATTTCCATAAAACCAACCCAGACCCACTGATCTTTCTGAGAACAGTGGGAGCTGAAGTTCTGAACAGTAGATTTAGAGTATAGGACAGTGGTCCCACCTGTCATCCCTTCTCCATCTTGAAGTTAACTGTCTAGGGAGAAGAAGAGACAGAATTCCAAGTCTGAAGATTAGGTTCCGAAGTCTGCCTCTGGCTCTAGAACCAGAAACAAGCATCAGTTTCCCTCACCTGTAAAATGGGAATGATTTGTTCTGCTCTGCTGACAACCAGGTTTCTGTGCTCACGGAAAAGATGTCTGTGAAATTCTTTAAAAAACACCAATGCGTTGGGTTAAAGGACACTACTATTACCCTAAGTTATATCCTGGGAGACTGAGGAAGTGTTTTGTTTTTTAAAAGCCCCAGGGCTTTTAGCTATCAACATGCCCCAGGAATAAGTGCAGCTGGCTCTGACAATGACAAAAAAAATCAGCTTCCCAGAGGGAATTAGCTGAGTCCAAGGGCTTGGAAGAACCCGGCAGCATCTTTCAAAGGTCAGAGACGTGTTAGAAGCTAGAAGGCCTGGGGCTGAGCCTAGGGTCCCCCAGAGGGTACTTGCGTGAATGGAGGGACATAGAGAGCAAATCTTCCTGGTAAATGTCCCTGCATCTCAAGGCAACCAATCGCTTTTTCTAGGTTTCAGCCAGATATCTGTCTTCGAGTGAACTAAAAAAACCAAGCTGATTTGGTATATGCAAAAAGTCAACCACTGCAGGGGACCCCAGGCGCAGGCCATCAGCCTCCTGCCCCTAGTCCTGGACTGTGAGACCCTCTACTTGAAAATGCAACTAGTGTTTCAATCCGGATCTCCCGGCCCTCGGCAAATGAAAAGGAGACCACAATGATTCCTCTGGGAAGCTCAGCTAGAGAGCCTGGGTTTCCCTCCACACTCCTGTATCCAGCCAACAAATGCCTTTCCTCACTTCTTAATGCTGCCTGGTACCATGGTCTGAGGGGGCTCCAGCGACGTTGCCAGGGCAAACAGGGAGAACTGCGCAGACCCCACCGACCGCCATCCTCTCCCATGTCCACCAGCAGCACCAGCAGCCGTTGCCCAAGCCCAACCTTCCCGGCCAGCTGCTCCTCTCCTGCTCTCCAAATGCACACAACAGGTGGCACTTGCCGGTCCTCCCAAGCCGCACCTCTCCCCACATCACCACCTGCGCCCCAGCTCTCCAGCTGTGCCCCGGCCGGCGAAGCCTACCTTTGAGGTTCTGGGGGTGGCCCCGCGGCGCCCGGCTCTGGTTTCCTCGCTGTAGAGAGGAGATACTGAAGTTGTTACCCATGGCATCGGTCCCCCGAGGGGTGCAGCTCCGCGGAGGGGTAGGCGAGGCTGGCCGGGCGCCGAGCAAAGGTGTTCAAGTGTGTGCGCGCGCGCGAGTGCGCGCCGCCGGGGGAGGGACCTGGCTGAGCTGCGGCCCGGGGCGGGCGCTTTGCTGCCTCGGGCTCTCCGGGGACTTCAAGATCCTGGATCCCCCGGTCCTGCCTGCCGCTGGGGTTCTCGCTGCACTCGACTACCGGGCTCCCATGCCCCACGCTCCGGGCGGCCGGGCCCCTGGGCCCCGGGTTGCAGCGCGTGCCGCTAGGCTCTTCCTGGCGCTGGCGCTCGGGCTTCGGCTGGTGGTGGGCGGTGCGGCGGCAGCGCGCTCCCTGTAGGCCATAGAGTCGGGGCTGCTCGGCGGCCGGCTCGATCCCCGCCCGCGGGGACGGCCTGGCGGCGGCGACAACACGCGTGGCGCCCTCCCGCCAGCGGTGTGCATGTGCGGGGCGCGGTGCTCCGTCTCCCTCCCACTCGCCTCCCCCCCCACGCCCTAGCGGTCGCCAGGACTCCCGGGCTCCGGTTGTTATGGTGACAGCTGCGCGGGTGAATGAGCGTCTTAGTGACTCGCGGCCGCCCGCTTGGCCAGATGTGGCCCCGGGACACGCCGCATTCCCGGTGGCCATAAGTTCTGGACGCGGGGGGTCGGGGCGCAGCGTAGCTGGGGGTCCGGGCCCCACATGCCTGGAGGCATGACATCGGGAACAGATTGAGGCTCCAGAGGATCGGCGTTTTCCTGCCGTGGGACAGTTGAGCTTGAAAACCAGAGGATCCGGACCGCCAAAACATTAAGGGCCTCGGATGACAGGACAGGCCGAGGTAGCACTATTGTAGTTTTCCTAGCCCCAGGCACAGGGCCTGGCACAGGGTAAAAAGCTCAGGAGCTAGTGGGTGATGGAACAAAACAATTAAGATAAGAACGCCAGCACCTCCCCTTCGGTCATCAGAAACTCCCAAGCAGAACTCCAGTCAACTATTTCTTGACTAATAGCACCTGACTTTGCATGCACAAGACCAGAGAACCACAAGGCCAGAACCAAGCTGAGGGGACAGAGCTCAGGCACAAACCACCAAAGAACTACCTGTCAGCTATAATACTAAGAGATTAGGGAAGGAAAGGTGTGGCCTATGGCAGTCAGTGGTGGCTTCCCGGAGGAAGGGGGCTTCTGCAAGTGACCTTCCATCAGTGTAAACTAGTACTGCCATCCAGAAGCCTACAGGAGAAGACCAGGGAGTCATTCTCTTATCTGGATATAGAGCATCTTTTTCACACAATATGTCAGGGGCAAAAGATGCTCCACTGCACCCTCACCAGCCTTCCTGGTGATCCCTTACTCTCTGATCCGGCTTCAGCAACTGTGATCCAGAGTCTAAGAAGACATGAGTGGGAGGAATGGGTATCTCATCCTTTCTCTTCTGGAAGTTTCTTCCTATAAGACTCCATAGGATGGCTTCTCAATGTTCAGGCACAGAACACATCCTAGTCTTCCCTGAGCATCCCAACTAATGATTCCCTGCCACTCTCCCCGTCAGTTTCTGTATGATTATCCTATTTTCTTTGTATGAATTTTCTTTTGGTCTTTTTTTTTTTTGACATGGTCTCACTAGTCCCAGCCAGCTTGAATCTCACTATGTAGATCAGACTGGCCTCCATCTCACAGAGATCTGCCTGCCTCTGCCTCCCAAGGCCTGGGATTAAAGGCACCACTCCTAGTGTCTGAATTTTCTTAAAAGTAACCTTTCTGACTTGTTTAGTTTCTGTCCCCATCTCCCACTGAAGAATAAGCTTGGTTAGGGGAGAGTTCAGGTCAGTCACATTCCCCATTCTGTCTCTAGGCCCTTGGGCAGGCACATGACAGATTCTCAGAACTATTTGTACAATGAAAGGGTCACCTGCCTGCCAGCAGAATTCTACTGCAATCCTTGGGAATTGAGCTTTCTGAATCACCCTTTAGTCCCCTCCCCTGCCCTCTATTTGCATCCATTTCCAATCATCACACCCTTAAATGCCAGAGACTCCAGGCAAACTAGAAATATCTGTGAAAGGTGCATCCTGGGATTTGGAAAAGACAGCCAGACTTCCACCCCCAGCCACCAGTCTCTGGGATGCCTGGGGTCATGTGTTAGTAAGCCACAGAATGGTCAGGGGCTAGTGTCTTATTTATGGACAGTGTCCTCCCAACACTCACTCCCCCTCCACTGATGACTCATAGGACAGAAATTTATGGGCTCTACACACTTACACATTAGCACACACCTCTACACTACACAAGTGAACTTACTATGCAGTGTGAACATTCCTATACAGAGAGAGAGAGAGAGAGAGAGAGAGAGAGAAAGCTCTCTCCTGAAACCTTCTAAAATGAAATCACTGTGAGCAACTGGGGAGATCAGGCATTTTATGAATCAGAATAAATATGTGGACTCTGTAGAGAGGAGACTAATTCCCTGGAGTATATGTGAAGTGCAAGGTTCTTGCTGGGATTTGCAGACAATGGCTGAAGAGTCCGTCTGAGAATAACCCCACTTCTGTGGTTATTCCTGGGAAGCTGAGCTTCTGGGGCCTGGGTAGGGGGCTGAGAGTGGATCTAAGGCCTCAGACATAAATGATAGCAGGAGGTTGTAGGACCCACACAAGCCTAAACCTAGGCTATGAGCAAAGCAAGAGACGAATGTCAAAGGGAAGGGAGAGGGAAGGAGGGAAGGAGGGAGGGCCAGCGGTAAGAGCTCACTTGAGAGTCCAGAAGCAGCCAGAAGGCTCTGCTGCTCACAGTAGCCTGAACTCCAAAAGAAAGTGAGGCAGTTTCAGGGGGCTGAGGGTGGTCCCAACACATCCCTGACTCAAGAGGTTGAAAAGTTTATGGGAGAATGATAGGGTTGGACCAGGCTGAGGCAAGGAAGCAACTCCTGGTGTGAATGTGAAAGAGTTTCCCTAGCCATGTAGGTGCCACACAGAATGCCAACACTCTGGCACAAGCCCCAGGGTAGGACCACTGAGTGTCACCCCCAGGCTCCTCCCTAGCCTCACCTTGGTCTTTCTGGGAAGTCCAGTATTGTGGGAAAGGACACTACTGTTAAATGTCTACTGGATGAAGGTCTGTGGCCGTACAAGGACCTAGAGAGAAAAGATGTGGCTGCATGGGACCCAGAGAAGCTAAGAGTGACTTCTAAGAGTCCTGTGCTCCAGAAACGCTTTCCTGGCAGGAACTGCTGGTAGACCAAGTTCAAAGAATCAAAGAGCACCAGCAGCCTTCCTTCCCAGGACATGAGACAGAATCCCGGACATGGGACATCCCTCCGCCAAGGCAGCTGCCAGGCAACAAGAAGGTAGCTTAGCCCTATCCTGGAAAGGAGGAGGGAGAAGAGACCTACAGGGAGATTGGGGCTGGATGAAGTCATCGTTTGGGTGGCTTCAGTGAAGCTATTAATACCCACAAGGTGGTGCCCAAGCACCTGTCACCGTAGCAACCCCTCTCCCAGAAGTATAGATTGAGGGCAGGTTCAGAGGGGGTGGGTGCCAGTGTGTATGTGTGTGTGCATGTATACTTGTGTTCTTGTGTGTTCATGCAGGGATGTTGTTAGTGCTCATACCAACTTGTAGAGCAAGGGGGGACCCCAGACAGAGACCTAAGGAGGGACCAGGATTTCATCAAAAGCAGCTCTGGGAAACTCCCTCTCCCTTTCCTTCACACTGTTATCTTACCCTCTGACTGCTCTCTCTTCTTCCAACTCTCCCCCTCCCCTCTCCCTCTCTCCCTCCCCCTCCCCCTCCTACCCCTCTCCTCTCCCTCTCCTTTTCATCCCTCCCCTTCTCCTCCTCTACCACCATCTGGGTTACTCTCATCCCTTTCTTGCTTACTCCCCACACTCCCACCCACCTAAATTTAAATACTGAAGTCCTTTATCAGTCACATTAATAAAACAGCAGAATATTTAACTGAGAATCTGCTTTCTTTCTTGCCTGAGCTCCAGGATACTGAGTCCAGAAGTAGCCACAAGGATAGCTCCCACCAGGCAGACAAAAGCGAGGTTCATTCAAGCCAGGCTGGACTCCTATGGCTTATTCCCAGGTACTTTGTGATTGAGCTTCATTCACTGCTGCCTAACTATTGAACAGTAACTAGAGCTGGGAAGATGGTTCAGTCGGCAAAGTGCTTGCCATGCAAGCATAAGAAGCTGAGCTCCATCCCTAGCACCCATGTGAAAAAAGCTGGGTACAAAGTGCATGCCCGTAACCCCAGCATGCACAAGCACAGGTGGCTTGCTGTGAGATTTGAGGTTACACTGGTCTACATAGTGAGTTCCAGGCCAGCTGGGACTATAGGGAGACCCTGTCTGAAAAAAACAGGGGGCTAGAGAGATGGCTCAGCAGTTAAGAGCACTGACTGCTCTTACAGAGGACCCAGGTTCGGTTCCTAGTACCCACATAGTGACTAACCACCATCCATAACTCCAGTTCTAGGGGAACCAATGCCCTCTTCAGACCTCTGCAAGCATTGCATGACACTGGTGCACTTACATATATGCAGGCAATACACTCATACACATTAAAAAAGAAAAAGAAAAATTAACATGGGGGAGTGCTGGAGAGATGGCTCAATGGTTGAGCTGCTCTTGCAGAGGATCCTGGTTTGGTTTCCAGCACCCACATAGTGGCAAATAACCATCTGTAACTCCAGCTCCAGGGAACCCAACACCCAACACAGGCATTTCACAACACAGGTGCACTTGCAGGCAATGTACTCATAAAATAAAAATTTAAAAAAACCTAAAGTGGAGAGTTGATTGAGGGAAACAATTGGGAAGACCAAGTCCTCAAGAATGGCATCATGCACAGCAGTAGAGTGCAGCTTCTGGGACGCTTTTGCTTTTTGTTTCGTAGGGCTCTTTCGAGTTGGCTTAGGCAGGATCCTCCTCTCAGCAATGAAGACTACGTGCTTCATGCTGAACTTTTTCTTCAATTCACATACTAGGCGGACTTGGATTTTCTGGAAAGATTTCAGTTGAGGAACTGGGACAAAAATTATGAATGCTTTCCGTCCACCACCAACTTCAATTTCCTTGGCTGCAGTGATGTTGAGTTCCTGCAGCTGTGCCTTGAGGTCCACGTTCATTTCTAGCTTGAGCAGAGCCTGGGAGATGCCCAACTCGAACTTGTCCGGCTTCTCACTGCTGGGCTTCACCATCTTGGCACTCGAGCTAAACATGGCTAAAGACGAGCAACGTTTCTTACAAGCACCATGGGGAAACCTATTCTCTGTTTCTGTGTACTGTAATCTAGCTCCCCATGTCCTGGGCTGAATTGAGGGTTGAACACACAATGGGCTTCATTAGATGCTGATCATGGAGCTGGGCAGTTGGCTGAGCTAGTCTCTTTAGTCACATCCCCCAAACATAAACCGTAATATTACACATCGATATCTTTATCATCTGCTACTATACAAATGAAGTACACACCAAATGGACAGATTTTTTAAAGGGATCCTCTTGCCTCTTCACACACTCAGAGTGATAAGTTTGAAACATGTGCACCAGAATCATGCACAGGGTGTTGGGAGGAGACAGGGAGGGTACTAAAATCA